CTTATGCAGCAATATACCGTCATCACCTGCATACGGAGTTTATATATATCTCAGTTGATTCAATATGCAATAATCAGCTAATACTTCATAAGCGCATATTCTATGTATGAACAATTTCCAAAACGAGGTAAGTTATTGACAAACAAGTTGATGAAATAAGGATATCTAGAGTCTCGTTTAAAGTCATCATTTCGTAAGTTCTATGGTCGATACAATGACCTTGACAGCAAATACAATATATCATTGAGTCAAACGCTGACTGAGGTTTTTCATACTTATTGTTAGTCTATTATTTATACTCTGATGCTTTGGAAGTCCCTGTTTGCTCTGCTCCTACTTTGTATTGTTTTATGAACTTTTGATCTTGAATACTGTTAGTTACCTCCATATGTTTCATACATTTGTTTTCAAATGGTTGATTTAATTTTACATATGTTAACGGAACTTAACCCTGATACATTTGACCTGGTTTCGATTGATATTGTTTACAGATTTTTTGAGAATGAATAGTATTCGTTTTTCTTGAATTGTTTACCCAGCAATTCATTACTTTTGGACATCACCCGAGAATTATAGTCTCTTTCATGAAGAGAGTGTTACTTATTGGGTTATATGTTGCATTGATTATTCTTAACGTAGCAAATAGATTTAATTACTTTCCCTAAGATTTAAATATAACACTTCAACTGGGTTAAACACGACACGTGGTAGCCGGCTAGATTTCTATGTCCCACAGGTGAGATTCATAATTGTGAAAAAAGTGGAAGATTACTGTGGGGTGCTTATGCATGAAGTGATAAAAAAGTGTATTAGATAAGTATTTCATTTAATTGCAAAAATGGCATTTAGACTTTCTCCAACACAGAGGCTGGTTTTGTAACATAGGCATTATCAATTACCATTTTATGATCCCATATTATGTATTTTCACTATATGTTGAATCTTTATATATCCTAGTGAACTTGACATTAATATTTTCAAAAATTGTTAATATATTTCATAATTGGATATTTTAATGAAAAATTCTATGACGTTAAAGGCCATAACTAAACTGTTAAAAAAATAAAACAATATGTTTCAATGTAATTTAATATACACTGAATGTTTTCTATTGAAAAGATGACCATTCAAAGAAGAATCAACAGGATCAGTTTTTTACAAATTTTAATTTCCCTTATCAAATTTTTAACTTTTCCCTTCAAAATATTTATGTTCAAATAAGAAAAAAAATGGATGATCAGGCGTGTAAAAATGTTCGCTGCCAGCAGACAACTTTATTCAGTAAGATTTTAAAACAAGGATTATTAACACGGGTTTTTGTCATCTTGCTAGAGATGGTTCTTTCTCAGAGACCTTGTTGGGACAGCAAAATTTGTTTTATCGTTTGAGAACAAGAACGGTAACACCCAGCTAAACTCATCGCCCCAATTTAAAATGTCTTATTCGACAGAAAAATTATACATTGCTTAGAGAAAAAGACAAAATGGATCTTGAAGTTTAGTTTCCTGATGTGAAAAACACAATCTCAAATAATGTCAGTATCAAATGATAACAAGACTGGAATATGTGTGTCCCATCTCTGTATTTCAAAGTTTAACACACTAAAATAAATACATAATCTTCTGAAACTTATTCATCGTATGTTGAATGCTTAAGTGATTAGTAAAATACAGAAGTCAATCTTTGTGCATTGTTGTAAATTAATATAAAATCACTCAATTATATATACGGAAACAAAAAATAATGATATTCACGTACAATGTTGAACTTATTTGATTAACTTTTATGAAGTGTAAAATCTGTGTTATATATAATTTGTAAATTTTGAATCTTTTGATTCATTCAATTGCACAAAAGTGAAGAATTATTGTTCCTTGTAAAACTGTGTGTGAAATTATTAGTAAATTCTTGGTCACCAAAATAAAGTTTTCGTTTTTTAAATAAATTTATCTGTTTTACACAAAAAAAGTTTTGTCATGTCATAATGTAATTTGACACTATTCAAAAGGGAATCGAAATGGTTTATTGAATGATTTTTTTCTTGTATCTTTAATAAATCTTGAAAGAGCTCGGTTCACTTCATGCATAAAATGGCCCTGAAGATATACCAATTAATTGATTAATACTTGATTTTCCATTTGAAGCATTAAAATAAAATAGAGACTTAGTGCTTTCATTTCCTATTAAAAATTGTCTACTAAAAGTCAATGTCTTGGAGAATTGGCTTTAGGAAATTGCAATGTTCTTGAACTTTAAGGTAAACAGGAATAATTGAGTACTTTCAGTGAAGAAAAATAACATCAGCGCACTCTCTGATCCAAAAAATAAAACATTTCTTTAATACCCAGAAACAGTTCTATTATTTAGTAGTTGCGACATTTAGATCAGAAGTTGCGCTCTTTATTACATTTTTACCAGTGAAATACTGTAATTTATTCATTGAATAAAAATGATATCCTGTCACGGTGTGAAACGTATATATTCTGGTAAATGTTATACTCGTAATTGACCTTGATAAAAACTTGCTGATGCGATCTATACCTCTGTAAACGATTACATTCTATCGTACATTATTTTTTTTTTCTTTACCGAGATAAAAATGTCAAGGTTGTTCACGGTAAAAATGTGGGGAATACCTTATTCTTCAAAAGTTTTCATCTTACTTCTACAGATTTTTTGTTAAAAAAATCTTTCCAAGGTCAAGGTCAAAAGCACGTGTTATCCTTTTGTTTTTTTCAAAAGGTGTGTAAAAATGCTGTTGTCTGATTGGATCAAAAATAATTACGTGTACTTGATGTACATTTATGGCCAAGGTTAAAGTTTTTCATAAGTACAAAATTCGCCAAGGTCAAAATGTCAAGGTTTTTGATATCCAATGAAAGGCCTTGCCACATAAAATACATATGAAAAGTATGAAGCTCTTGCCCTAACCATTCAAAAGATGGCCAAGGTTGAAATTTGCCTTCTTTAGCAAAGAAAATCATTTTAAATCATTATAATGATAAAGCGTCAAATGTTCTTGATAACATCTGAAAGGTCTTGTCACAAGGATTCACAAGGATTAAATTTCTTAAATGCAAATTAATATAGTCCTAGCCCTAACCCTTAAAAAATATGGTCAAGGTTTTGGAAATACAATTTGAAATATGAAAGTAGGCCAAGGTAAAGTTTTTCAAGATCAAAGGGTCAAGGTCAATTCATTGGTATCCAATGAAAGGTCTTTTTACAAAAAATAAAATATGAAAGCCCTATCCTTTACCGTTCAGAAGTTATGGCCGAGTTTAAAGTTTTTTTTTACAAGTACAGAAATCTCCAAGGTCAAGGTGAAAAGATCAAAGTTGTTGGTATCCAATGAAAGGTCTTTCAACAAAAAATACATATGTGAAGAATAAATATCCTGGTATTCACTGTTCAAAAGATATGGCCAAAGTAAAAGTTTGGAATTTTTGTATAAAAGTGGGTCAAACTCCAAGGTCAAGGTCAAAAGGTCAAATTTGGTGTTACCCAAAGAAAGGTCTTGTCACAAGGAATACAAATGTGAATACAAGTTGATGAAACAAGACTATCGAAGTTATTGACAAACAAGTTGTTGAAACAAGAATATCAGTAGTCTCGTTTGAAGTCATAATTTTGTAAGTTCTGTGGGCGATACAATGACCTTGTCAACAAAAACAATTTATCATTGAGTCAAATGCTAATAGGTAATTTTCATAGTAATTGTTAGTCCATTATTTATACGTAGAATTGTCGACGGATTTCAGTTATATCCCAATCATGACAAGGAGCACAAAGTGGGTGTGACCGGTAGGCAGGGGATGCTCACTCCTCCACGGCGTCTGATCCCACATATGATTTTAAAAGGTCCGTGTTTGCTCTGTTCCCAAATTTGTTTTTTGTTTATGGACTTTTGTGTTTGAATACTATTTGTTATCTCCATATCTTTCATTCATTTTATTTTTCTATTTTTTTTACAGACGTATTTTTAGATATTATGTTGAAATGTTAATGTTTATTTCATATTCAAGAATTAATTTTAGTTTTACTTTTTATGCCCCTATAATTGAAAATTCGTAGGTAATATGGTCTTTGCAGTGTCTGTCTGTCTATCTGTCTTGGGTCTGTTTATTCATAAAATATTAACTATGACTTTAATTTTTGATCGGTTAAAACTATGGATTTCATATCCCTGTGACGAAATTTTTCTCAGGGTATACTAGCATATTTAACCCTTGACAATGGTGTTTGACCCGCTTGCAAAAAATTATCAAACTTCTTTCTTCCACGGCTTTCGATTGGTTGTAGCTATTTGCTTTACTTGTATTTCGAAACTGATTGTTCTGTTAAGACCACTGTTCTTTGGGATTCAAGATATTTGAACCTGGGGTTTGACCCACTTTTAAAAATTATTAACACTGACCATAACTATTGAATATTTGACAAAGGGCCGTAATAATTCACAGTTGTATTTCTTGTAACAACCTTTGTCAGGATAGCAGAAATTTTGTCCTTTTATCGGTGATATTGGAGTTTTATCAATTATTGGAAAACTTAAACCAAATTGGACAAGACTTGATCATTCTTTGTGACAAGACTTTTCTTCGGAAACCAGAACTTGAACTTGGAAATGGATCTTCTTTTGTCAGACTCCAACCTTTGCCACAAATTTCGAACAATTATTGACAGGGTTTTAATACTTGGTACTTCACATATGTATTTCTTAATCTTATTATCATGCCTCCCATTTGGTACCTTATTTACTCTTCGATATTGACATATGACTTTGATCCAATTTTGGAATAAAAACCTTGGCCATAACTTTTAGATAGATTTTTATCTTATTTCACATGTATACATGGTTTTTATCAAGACGAGTCCTTTCTTTCTGTTTCTTCATTTTTGATCTCTTGACCTTATCCTTGGAGTTTGACAGGCAAATAAGGAACTTTAACCATAAGCTGATATACGGGGCATTCTTGTTTTACAAACAAATCTTCTTTCAGATAAGCAAGCGAGAGCTTTAATTCGGGTTGCCATGAACAGATGGGAAAAAGATACATGTATTAGATTTGTTCCAATTTCTGAATCTGAGAAAAAACCGGCATTTTACATCAAATTCTACAACTCCACTACGTATGTACATGTAGCTAGCATATCCTACTGATTTAGATTATCAAGCGTTCATGAACCACGACTGATTAAAATTAAAACTTACTTAATTTTATAAAAATATATTCATCCCATGAAAGTGTTACCTCGGTTTTCGGTGATCTTTATTTACTTGTACTATGAAAGACAAGAGTCAATTAGTTTTGGATGCCTTTGAAAATGTCCATAGATCCAAACTAATTTCAACAGATTATATTTTTGTCAAGCAAAATTAGTCCATAGAAAAATATTAATTCTACAACACAAAGATACTTAATTCAGCTTACTTTAATATGCATATGATTTCCCCCTTTTACATGGTTTAGTCATGAGGCAAGCAGATAATTCTACTAATCAAAACTGTTAACGAATAGCTGTTGCATTGCCATTTGATCTTTTCACATAATTATTATCATGCAAATATAATTACACGTAGTTAATTAGACCTGCATGTTTCCAAAGTTGTTTTTCAGATATCGGTAGAAGTGAAAAACAACATCCTCAGTTACTGGGGCTCAGTAAAGGTTGTATGTCTGTGAGTATTGAGTAACCCTTTGTAATTCTATTTATAGAACCGTCATATGAAGTGGTTTCCTGTGCTACTGACCATTTTATAATTCCCTATATTGTTTTGGATTCTAGATTCCTGTTATTCTACATGAACTTGGCCACGCTCTTGGAATGATTCACCCTATGTCACGTAATGACCGAGACTCTTACATTGACGTCAGAACTCAAAACGTTAAAACTGGCGCCGATCGAAATTTCATGATCATGAGAGAGAGAGGATATATGTATTTTACATTAAACGTGCCATATGACTACAAAAGCATTATGCAATACAGTCCCACGGTAAATATTTTTACTACATTCTTTAAACAGTACAGTGAGTAAGATTTATGCTAAACATCACTATATGCTGTAGAAAATATTTGCAGATATGGTCCTGGAATGGAAACCCTACCATGGTTACACTGAAACCGGAATACCAGTCCATATTAGGGAATGCTGATGACGTCAGTTTCTATGACAAGTTATATATCCATAGACGTTATCTTTGTGGCTGTAGGTAGTCAATAAAACCTAGATTGGCTAGAACATAGAAGAACCAATAATAATTACAGAGTTTACATCTTTTTGTGAAGATATTTTGATACATGGCGTTTTTTCTTCCAGGGGTTTGTACCGGGTACTGTGAGAACGGTGGGATAGTCGGAGGGAAGTCTTGTAAATGTATCTGTCCTGATGGTTATCATGGTAGTTACTGCGAGAAACGCCTACCGGGAGAAATAAAAGTGAGATTTTACATACCTTATATCTAATACTATACATATTTTTCAATTGAGATATTAGAATTTTTATTTTCGCATATGTGTATGCTCTGAGGGGTTGAATTAAAACAAATTATCAAAATTCACGTTAAAATTTAAATTGGAGATGTGAACTGGATGGATTTTA